TATGATAAAAAGGGTTAAAGCATCCTGTTAGTAGTAAAACTGGCAGTGGGTTTCAAGTTCAATTCAACAAGCATTTGCAGAGCTTATGTTGGAAGGAAGACTGGGCAATCTACTTCCGTAGAGATACTGCCTCGGAAATCCAAGGAGGGTTTGCTATGAGTCAGAATTGACTCAACGGCAGTTAGGTTTTTTTTTTTTTGGTATGTGGAAGAAATAATTGTTAAGTGATGGGAATATCAAGATTAATAAGACATTGACTCTGTCTTTAAGCAGTTTATGGCCAGGTTTAAGGCACATATGTTATTAAATTATTTGCAAAATAGTATGATAAGTGCAACTAGAAAATAGGTACAAGGTCCAGAGATAGTGCAAAGGAGGGAGTAGTTAAGTTCCATCTCCCAACCCCACCCCAACTCCGGGGAAGAAAAGGATTAGCTTCTCACAGAGATAGTAGTCTCTGAGCTTGATCTTGAACAAAGAACTGTGAGGTGAATACCATGGTGGAAAACAGGAGAATGTGTACAAAAGCATGGATATGTCAAATAGCATGGCATCACTGGGAACAACAAGTTCAGATAGGCTGAGAATAAAGCAAGAGAGAGAAAGTATGTGCTTGTTTGGGGATGGCAGATGTTAAGAGCAGAAGAACACTACATGAGCTAGAAGAGTAAAATCATATTTTTAAAAATACATTAACATTTGCTACATTTTCATTATGTGCCAGGCATCATGCTATGCAGTTCATATACTTTATGTCATCAATCCTCACAGCAACCATATGAAATAGTTAGTAGTGTTATCTCCTGTAGATGAGGATACTGGGCCTTACGTAACATTTCCAAAGTTACAAGCTAGTAAGTAGCAGAGTAAAGATTCATTTCACATCTGACTTGTCTCTAGAGCTAAAATATATAACTGCCACACTGTTGTGTTTATGAGCTATGAGAGTCTGTTTAGTTGCCATAGGTAGCAATGGAAAGGCTTAAAGGTGGGAAGAGCCTTGATTAATACTTTATTTTAGAAATACCATTTTGTTTGACGGCTTGGTAGATAGGGTTATGCTGACTTCAGGGACTTGATTTTTAGAGTATGTAAGAGACAAATAATGAAAGTAGTTGAGATCAGGATGTAGTAGAATGAGGTGGGAGTATGAATTTGATAGTAACAGGAAATCGAATACATAGCATTTGAGTAGAATATGTACATTTGGTAATTAATTTAGACATGTGATGTTAATGAATGGTATCATCAGGTATTACATAGTTAGCTGGCCAAAGCATGAATGAGAAGGAAAGGTTATTGGCAGAGAAGATAATGTCATCGTTAGGGGTGCAAGCATGAATGAGAAGGAAAGGTTATTGGCAGAGAAGGTAATGTCATCGTTAGGGTGCTGTATAGTGGTTCTGACTCATAGCAGCCCTGCGTACAACCGACTGAAAAGCTGCTCTGTCCCGTGCCGTCCTCACAATTCTTGCTATGATTGAACCTATAGTTGCAGCCCCTTTGTCACTCTGTCTCATTGAGTGCCTTCCTCTTTTTTGCTGACCCTCTACTTTACCAAGTGTGGTGTCCTTCTCCAGGGACTGGTCCCTCCTGAGAACATGCCCAAGTGTGTGGGACGAGGTCTTGCTGTCCTCATTTCTGAGGAACATTCTGGCTGTGCTACTTCCAGGACAGACTTTTTTCATTCTTCTGACAGTCACACCTGTATTCTTCAATGCCATTATTCAAATGCATTAATTCTCCTTTGATCTTCCTCATTCATTGTCCACCTTTTGCATGCATTTGAGGGTATTGAAAATACTGTGGCTTGGGTCAGGCGCATCTTAGCTCTCAAAGTGACATCTTTGCTTTTTACTATCTGAAAGAGGTCGTTTGCAGCACATTGCCTGATTCAGAACATCGTGTGATTTTTTTTTTAACTGCTGCTTCCACTGGCATTGATTGTGGATCCAAGTAAAATAAAATCCTTGGGGGGGATAGTGGCCAGATGCTTGAACAATTTCTCTTAGAAAGATCAGCACGAGGCTGGTCCCCATGAGGCGGAGGTCAAAGATGTCCCAAATGTCCAAACTACCATGCCACTCCATCATCTCAGACATTAACCCCTCCTCCTCCTCCCAGTAATTTCCCCAGTCTT